GGGCACAGTAAAGATGTTTACTGTACTTTAAATCTTTCTACGACAGACCAACGAGTGCCCCTGTCGGTCAACCAATCTCGTACCGCGGTACCCCGCGTCATCTTGCGTCATGATGTGCGACGCCGCAGCCAATTACCTCTGGTACGTGTCTGTACCGCTCACTTTGAATGGCTGCATCTGTATATATTATTACAAAATCCATTCTTACTCATATGGGGCTCATATCAGCCCATATGAGCCTCTATCCAAACACATGCAACTTCCTCATCCTCTTTGTAAATGAGAAAGGGCTTATTCTGACCCGTGGCTGGTTTCTCTCTCACCTTCACAATGTTCTCCTAACTGCTGGATTTCCTCCTGAACAAGTCTCTGGCCATTCTTTCAGAAAAGGTGCCGCTTCCTCTGCAGCTCGACAATGCATCCCAGATTATCTTATCAAACAACTCGGCTGTTGGTCCTCAAAGGCCTATCATGCATATATTAAAACCAACCCTGATATCCTCAAACAAGCATTTACTCTCCTCTGATGAATTTAGGTCAATGACCATTGTTTTTCTGCACTGGTGATTGAGGGTTCCACTTGGTGCTTTGGGGGATCCTATCCTTCCCGTCCAATGGCCGGGAGGTTGGCTTAACCTGCTTGGCTGAGGGCCATGTTTTTGCAACTCAATAAACATTTCTACCTTCTTTCAATCTTCGGCTGCTGTCATTCCTCGTGAACCATGTTCTGCCAGAAAATGTCCACTTCCACCATCTAGCTCCACTATTCCAGCTAGATGGGTACTCTGTAGCAGGAAAATTCTATGCAGTCCAGGTTTCCACAGAATTACATAATTGTAATAGGCTTGAATGAGCCCTATCACCCAAGCAATCTATATCAGTGCACACTGTAACCTAAGATACTGTAAGTGTTTATTGCCAGCCTTTGTTCTGAATATAGAAAAACTGGGAATATTTAACAAAACAAAACACAAATTTACTTACAGTTACTATCAATGTGCCTTGGGAACATAGCCACGGTCCTTTTATGTATATCATCATCCTCACTTCCCATTTGATCAGCTTCCCAGTGACCAGAAGGTTTGTTGTTCTTGTTGCAGGCTCCATACACACAACATTGATAAGCATATGGCATTTCTATCATTCTGCAGAGATAAAAACAATAACAAAAATTAAAAAAAACCATCAGGGAACAAAGGCAGACAATGATTTGGCTTTCTGGAAGTAAGAGACAACAGAAGTACAAAGACACAAACATAGCAAATGCATTGTAGTGGAAAGTGGTATTATTACCAATCCAAATTATGCATTACAGTTTGCACTACAGCACCCAGGAGATGACAAAGTCAAAAAGGAGTCAAAAGTCAAAATGGAAAACTGGACTTGGAGGAAAACAGGATGGGGGGGGGGAAGAGGCATAAGAGACCACATTGTTTAGGATGACAGGGACTAAGAAAATGCATAAGAACCACTGAAGGACTACACGGACTTTCAGCCCTTCCTCTGGTGAGGTGAAAGGAGATACACCAGGTCACTGGTTGCAGCTGGATGTGGTAGAATAATGCTGCTGTGGGACATTGGTTTTGGTAACTTGGTCAGTGGGGCTCTTATATGTACTCTGAGTACATTTCTGTTGTGAATAAGTTGTGTTATGTGTTCTGTGTTAGCTAGTCAGTTTTAGAAATTGTTGTGTCATGGGACCTATGTGATAGGTAGCCTGATGTAATGTAATAAAAAGGGAAAATATGTATTGTCCTGGTTCTGGGGGATAGAAAGAACCTATTGCTAAGGGAAAAAAGCCCTAGTACCTTTAAAATTGCTATAGCACTTCAGTTGTGTAGGGCTATTTCTTGATCACTTATATAAGATATTATATTCTAACTTATTATTATACTGTTTATCTCTAGTATCTACCTTGCTATTGAGGGCTTGTTGAAAGAATAATCAAACAGATTAGACTGTTAAATCTTTAGCACTGGTCTCTGTGAGTCAACCATGTTTTCAGTTGGAAGAAAAAGATCTGGAATCCTTCACATACAATGACAAAATACTTTACATACCATGACCAAATTAACAAAAGCCCTTGTTAAATCTTACTTGAATAACAAGAAACAGAATTTGGCTACATTATGAGCTGAAAGAATACAGCAGATTTAAAGCACCTTCTGAAATGGCTGAAATCTCTGCATTGAAAAGGCATTAAATTACTTTACATTGTAATTAGTCAATAAATTACTAAAAACTAAAAAACTAGTCAAACATAATCCATATTTTGCATATGTATATTAGGGAATTACAAGTTTTATGTCTTTGTGTCTAAAATGAGAGAGTTAAAATGAGTGTGTCAGCTTCATAATGAATGTTTTGTCAGAATGAATGTTTTGCATTAACCTATTTAGTTTATTGAATAAAAGTAGTTGGGTGATGTCACGCCTGACATCCCTCCCTAGATGGCGCTCCACTACTCCCGTTATCGTTCCTGTGATTGTTGCTAAGCTCCCCAGGTGTACCTTCTTAGGTGTATTATTTAAAGACTAGCTCCTCCTGTCCTTGGGGCTCATCATTAGGGTAAGGATGTAGCGAGGCCCGCCTAGCATCAGGAAACCCTACGTCCGTCTCCTGAGGGCATAGGCCTCATCCCCGACACCCCCCGCTTCCTGAGCCCAGGGTCTGAAGGATCTCGCCCCGTCACCCTTGGACCTCCATGTTTTGTCTGTTCGTGTTTTCCCCTTTCACGAGGATTTTAACCTTGTCGCGTCCCAGGATTGATTACTCGTGTCTGGACTCCCGGACTGTGTCCTGACCTGCCTTTGGACCTGTTTGGATTTTAATGCCATTCTTTGTCTCCCCCGTTCACTGTCTCACGGACTGTCACTATTCTTTTGTTCTGTGTGTTTTCCTTTTACCACGCCTCCTGTTTTCTCCAGCTCTTACCGCATCGCATAAGATCTTCTACAAGACCTGACACAGATCTCAGTCTGTGTTCATAACAGGTGATTAGCTAACTGAGAGAATATCATTGCAGTAGTAAACATTCTATAGTGCATCCTTTTTAATCTTTCAGTAGAATGTATGTAGAGTGAAAGCAGTATGACCTGAAGCACATGCATGTCATTTTATTAGCATGATTCTAGCAGGACATCGTTAGCAGGGTCACATGCTAGGGGAAAGGTGCTGCAAATTCTAAGCTATTGAGGGCTGGTATTTCAGTGAACCCCTATGAGCCATAATCCAAATTTATTCCGTGATGTAGGAACGCAGTGACCCCTAACAACCAGAGAAAGAGACTGACATAAACAGAAGACTTTATTTGCAACAGGAGAAGTCTTGCACCTAGTAAGCCAATTGTAATTTTGACTGAACAAATAAATACAGGTGGGTTTTATTTGACAAGCCTGAATATCAAAATGTCTAATGCAATAATAATACATTCAGTGATAACAGCTACATCCTGGAGTAAGCTGAATTTTTCTTACTTTCGTCCCACATTTGTGCAGGAACCCAGTAAGACCCTGTGCACAAACTATTGGAAAGCTACTTGAGATAAAATCTAAGTGGGATCCTTTTGCTTCAGGGTGCGATCTCAAGGTGAATTTAACTATTCTAGAATTGACTTTGGTAAAGAATTTCAAACCTAAAAATAATGTTATTTATATCTCTTTAATCACTCAGTTCATCATCAGCCACTTGTAAAATGTCATGTCATTTGCCAAACCACTTTGTACCATACAGTGTCACGGGAAGCCAGAGCCTACCCAGCAAGCAACGAGTGCAAGGCAGGGAACACCCTGGAGAGGGCACTAGTTCATCACAGGGCAAATGCAAGCCAATCATACATGGGGAAAGTTTGGATGCCACGGTAAAGGTTGAGGGGGGAAATTTGGCCTGGACACTGGGATAACTCCCTACTCTTATTGTGAAATGCCCAGGGATATTTAATTACCAGGACCTCCATTTAACATCTCATCCGAAGGACAGCTCCTTTTACAGTATAGTGTCCCCACCACTATACCGGGGCATTAGGACCCACGCAGACTATAGGGTGGGCGCCCCCCGCTGGTCCCACTAACACACTTCCAGCAGAAACCATAGCTTCCCAAGAGGTCTCCTATCCAGGTACTGACCAGGCTCAACCCTGCTTAGTTTAAGTGGGTAGCCAGTTGAGAGCTGCAGGGTGATTTGGCTGCTAGCCATTTCTAAAATGATTTACACATATTATTACTATTATTTATTTCCAAATTTTGTTGTTGTATCATTACAATTGTATATTGTATACATTGAATCCATGTGCAGATATTTCTTTTTATTTTTAATTACTTAAATTACATATTTTTAATTACATACTTTATTATTAATTACTAATAGCCGTAAAAGCAATTTAATGTTCTAATTTATTTTCAAGCATCACATCATTGTAGTATTTTAAGTCTTATATTCCTTCTTCCTTTGGTGCTTATTAAGTGTTTCCTTAGAATATCTGTCTATTATCCATAGCCACCTCATCCTGGGGAGGGCCATAGGATGCCTCCCTAATTGTCACGGTAGAAATCCCACCTCCAGGGAGCGCTCCGACTCCCAATCTAACCCTTTGTGTCACATAGTCATGCCTGCACATAAAATCACTTTTCACCTAGTTTGTATTAATAAACCCTCGTGTGTCTTCCCTGACATCTGCCTCCAGTGTCTGCAATCCATTCCTGCCATCACGCATCGGGTCTTAAAATGGTCAAAGACCACCATTCGTAACACTAATGATACATTAGTTCAGACTTAAACCAGAGAATGACACAGACGATGATTTAATCGCAACCATATTGTTAATTTAATCTAATTAATTTACTCTCTACTACCTCATTTTCGGAAAGTCCTCCATTCTGAATAGCTCAGACAGCTCCAGATTGCCTTTTAGTTTGAGATGAGTCAATCCACTGAGGCCATCTAGTGGAAGATTTGTTAACTGATTGTATGCCAGATCTCTGTCAGAACAACAGAAAAGGGTCTGAGTATTGAAAAAACAGTCATGGTAAACTTGATATTTAATTTCTTTAGCAGGCTGCTGAATAAGTTCAACTTGCTTAAAGACTCTTACAGAAACAATCTTATTTTCTCTATAAATCATGAAATATACTGTATATACTTACAGTTTGACCAGGGACTGTAGAGAAGCAAAGGTATCACGGTGAATGGTCTTAATTTGATTCCAACTAAGGTCTCTAGGACAGAAGCACAAATGAAACATTTTTCATCAGGATTAATAGCGTCTAAATAACATATTTTTCTATTGTATTTAAGGCTAAACCTAAGAGATTTTAAAAGACTGGGTGAACTGGGTGACAGAATTGTCTGTACACTGACTTCTACCCACTATTAATCTACTCTATTTCTTTTTGTTCATTCATTTACCCTATAACATTTCACACAGCACAGCCCCCAAACCATTAACTCACCAATTTATTTTTTCACTTCAATCAACACACACAGCAGCTCATGTTCTGGAGTGTACTCACCCCTGCCCAAGGTCCTTCTCTGTCCCTGAAGTGGACACATGACAGACGTCACCTGTTATCAGAGAGCCAGTCCACCTCTGCTACTTTTGTGAAACATCCTTCCGACTACACTTCCTGCTCTCTGATCAGCCAGCTATACAAACAATCCACTGTCTTCCAGCTCCAGGTTTACTAACTTCCTCGTAGGTGGCCCTTCCAACTCAGTGGTTGCCATTCAGAAATTTACAAACAAAAAGTATTTTATACTGTTTCACTTTACCATATTTTCTCTCATCCACATTTCATACACTTGGGCATGAAAAGACAGAGAAGAGCTCTGCAGTATTGCAGTATGAAAGCTCTTTTCTGTTGGAACTACACTTCCAGCTCCAGGCACCACTCTGGGCTCCTAGATCGCACATATTATTCTCCTGGCAGGGAAGGCTGCATTGTTGCTGTTTTCCTGCGCACCATGCTCAAATGTGATCAACAGCTCCTAAGCCATCCAGGTCAAACCTCTTCTCCAGTGTCTCCCCAGTACACATACAACCTTACATGTTTTTCATCAGTCCACAGCAACTCCACTGCCAAACTTTGCCACAGCATCTAGCACCTTCTACTGCTTCCATCTTGGACTCTCTCTGAAAGCCCCGATGGATAGTAAGGATTGCATTCCTGGTGTATTTCATATAACTCCATGGTACTCAAAGGCAACCACTACTGCTGCACTTGCACACAACCAAACGCTCTTCTCATAACAAACACTGTGCTGCTTTTTCCTTGCAGCTAAGCAGTCCTCCAGCTGCTAGCTCCCAGTTAACAAGCCACTGGTGTCTCTGGCAAACTCACGAAAAAACGCTCTTGTAGCTTCCAGCAACACTTTCCAATGTCCAACACTTTAACAAGCTGCCAGTGTCTCTCTCTCATGCTCAGCTAGCCTACGTGACACACAAACACAAAATTCACTGTGGGTTCTGGAGAATTCTCAAGTTTCCCTTCTGTCTGAAATTTGCTGTACCCTTACTAACTGTTTGATCAAACTACTATTGATGAGATCATGTCAGAATAAAATGTTTATTGCAAAAGGATACAAAGGTCCCAGTTTAAAGTTCAAATTTGTGTTCTTTTGTTTGCAGGAAGTATTTGTTCCATAAACTTTAGAACAGTGATGTCTTCATTAGTGTGAATATCACTATTGAAGAGCTGAGCTAATAATAGAAATGCTGTGGTATGAATTATTTTGCTTCATATTCTTCTCAGTGTAATAGCTAAAACAGTAAATCCACAACATAAATGGTGACACACAATAGTGTGAAACAATTCACTGAGCTGGGAAACGGCTTAGTTAAGTTCTTTAGAAGTTCTTTGCTCTAATTATTACTTCAAAAAATATTTGGTTGGGTAGTGTATATTCTCGTAAGGTAACTTAAAATATGTAACACAAATTCTGCCATGAAAAAATGCAAATGTATTTTAATATAAAATTAATCATATCAATTTTCAGTGGATGTTGTGTCTGGATTACTGAGGATGTTAAGATACAATGAGCACCAGGAAGCTGTTTTAAAAAAAAAACAGATTACTCAGTTAGCCAGATAACTAGATAGATTCTTCTAAAGGGCCATTGGGTGACTTGAAGGATGTTCAATAGGATTTTATATTTAGGGTGGCAGGTGTTACAACACAGAACACCAGGGACTGAGGCAGACAGGTTCTACAGCCATTTGCTCTTTATTGTACATGACATAGAACTGCCAGAGAAAGGCAAAAACCCGGTAAGGCACCTACAGTAGGTGCCGTAATGCAGTAACCCAAAACAGAAGTGCAACAGTGTCATAAACATAAGCAAACGCTGTATGCGCCATAACAGCAGGAACACAAGCATAAAATACTGTTGCAAGCATTAAAAAGACAATTAATTAATGATGAGGTTGTTCCTATTTTATAAAGCAACTTGAGCACAGATCTTTGCAGCCACCTGCCAAGAACGTGGCATATCGTATTCTGACACACGTGCTCCCTTACTAATGTATTTCTGATACCCCTTTCAGCGGTCTCAAAATGTTTCACTGCTGAAAACCAGGGGAATTAACTTAATATGTAAAATATTTCTCTTTAAGAGATACACCATTTTATCTTATTTGGAGATAACATGGTAAAATTAAAGTGGGTTACATTATTCTAAGCTATGTGCTGACATTTTACATTGAAAACGTCAATATTACAATTAATTGTTAAGAATTGTGGCAATTGTATTTGTATACTGAATACTTTTGGAAAGTAACCTCTTGCCACAACACTATTTATGCTATTTACTGGGCTTGGCAAATAATGAAAGCTTTAATGAAAACCTGCCATATGCAAGGGGATGTTAAATTCAATATGTTAAATATTAAAATTCCTATGTAGCACAAAAAAAGTCCTATGTGGGAGATTATGAAGTCCTAATTTGGAGATTGTGGGAGTTTAGAACATGAGAGGTTATAAACATCTGAGGTTAGAACATCTGAAAGGAGAACACTCAATTTCACAATCAACTGGGGAAGGCCGGTAGCTACCTGTGTTTGTTCTTGTTATTAGAAAGACTGTGAGTGTCTCAGTTAAGAACAGCTAGGTTTAAAACAGGCAAGATTCAGAACTCTATCTCTTAGGAGCTGGTAGGCCCAGCAAAGGAAGTCAAGCAAGGGAGAAACAAGGGTTAGCTGTCTTCCGATAGTTTTCTGGCACTATATCTCGGAAAAGAAAGCAGCTTGGAATCTACTTTCAGAAGCACAAATCGGCACAAATGTAACACTAACAAATGAAGTGTTACATTTGTGTTTCATTGTTTCATTGTTTGTGCTGTTTGTAGGGGGGTCAACTTCATGGAGCAGAGATGGGCTCCAGTACCCCCTTATCTGAAGCTGGATTTGGGGAAAACCAGGGTAAGGGGGATAAAGGACCACATTGTTCAGGATAGCCAGGAATGAGATGTGTGCCTAATACTACGCAGAGTTTCTTCGCTGTGGAGGAAAAAGGCATGTCAGGTCTCCGATAGCTGGTTTTAGAGAATGGAGATGCTGGACTACTCCTTTAAGACATTTAAGTTTTGGTAAACTTGTCGTTTATGGGGATAATGTGTTCTATGTGTCTGGGGAAATTATAGAAATTGTTGTGTTATGAGGATACTGTGTAATGAGTAGATTGACAGACTAATAAAATTGAATATTATGAAGGGTGACTGTCTTGCCTGATCTGTGGGTACACTGGTGGTTCTGAGAGATAGGAAGGAATGTGTTGTGGAGAAAAAGGGATCCTAGCACCATTTTAACTTGCTAATCGGCATAGTCAGCTACAAAGCTAACTTTTAAAAGCACTCCTTGCATTCAGTCATCCTTAGAAAACGTTTAGAAATGAACAACAAGAATGATTTCTGGTTTTAGGGAATTGTCATATATAATCATCTATATATAGTACATAGAACATGGAATGGACATAGGGAGGAGATGTTTCACGAAGTATAGAAATGGGGCTAACTGAAAGTGATGGGGGCGATTGCAAAATTGGTAAAGACATCTCTGTTGGAGAGATGTGTAATATAGGAGGTGTAGAACTTTATTAAGAAAAGAGAATCCAGGTTCAAGAGCTAAATCTAGAGGAAACAAGAGAGATTCAAACAACTTGGGTCATTTTAGACAACAATTCTAAAAACATAGTGTATGCTATGAACCACCAAATGGTGATTGTAATTCTACACTATATAATTTATGTGCAAAAGATGCAGCACCTTTTACAGAAGAGCTTCAACTAAATTAGTGTCAGCAGCAGAAAGCAAAGTAGTAGACATTATTACCTCTTTATTAGTCAGTTTACTGTAATATCTATGTAACAAAATGCTTGTATTGATCTCGCTGTTTCAACAATACAAGAGCCATGATATGGAGTGATTTGAAGTATCCAAATCAAGACTTTACAGTTTCACTGTAAGGAAATTGTACTTTTAAGGAATGAAACACAATTTAAATATTGTAAAAAATAAATAAGCAAAAATATGTTAAAATTAATAAAAATGGTGTCTAATCAAACAAAAAGGATAGAATGAATAGCAAGCAAACTGGAAAGCCCAAGAGAGTAGAAAAATATATTGTAATAGTAATTAAACTGTGCTTCTCAAACTCTGGTACGCAAACCACTGGTGGTACGTAGAGCGCCCCCAGGTGGAACACCAGATGACCCTGGAAGTGTGTTGTGTGCACTGAAAAATTGGGTAGGGTTTTCATATTTTCTATTTTAATAAAATTATTTTTTGTGTCAAATACACAGCCTACGTACTTAGCTACGTCGATACAGAGCATGCTAATACTTGAGTGGAAACAAGAGCTACTATGTAATTCCATACCATTGTATAGGAATGTGTGCTACGAACCTAAGTAACAAATAGTATTAAAATAAATTATCTTTAGCAAATAAGGAGGTAGGAAAATGTGCGTGATTTTGGAACATTGCCAATCTTGTAAGCACAGGAAAGTGTGATACAGATGCAGCCATTCAAAATGCACGGGCGATACCGCATTATATTCCGGTGCGCTCTACGCAGTCTACCGCGAGTTACTGGTAAATACCGCTAGTTACCATAAATTCTCCTATAATACCGCAAGCAAAATAATAGTATCCGGAATTTCCGCAAGGTGGAGCTAATAAAGCTCAAC